GCAAATATAAACAAGCGCACACACACAGACGTTTACAGACGCATACAAACACTCACACAAAGAAACACACCCATATGTGCACACACAAACACACAAATACACACATACACCCCACTAACACCAATGCATAGTTGCACACGTTCACATTTGAAAAAAATACATAAAATGTACAAACAAACAAAGACACATATTCACAAATATATAAACAAACAAACACACACATACACACACACACAAACACACACACCCACGTAAAACATAATCGCGTGTAAACTACTAATTTATACTTATGGCACAAAAATAGAATGAAAGAACTTTAAAAAAATTACAAAAATTATTTTGACGGATGAGACTTACATATTTTAAAACTCCAACAATGGTCAAATATAATACAACGTAAAAACGCTGGAGTCACATCCGGTTGGAGTCGGAGATTTTACTGGAGTTGGAATTTTTCGAGGGACTAGAGCCGGATATTTTTCATCCGACTCCCATTCCAGAGAGTGTGAAAATTGTTTAAATGATCGTGTTTCTTAGAAGATACATGTGTATCTAATTCTAAAATAATTGCTTGAAATATTAACTAAATCACAAAGTTATTTACACTGACTGATTTTAAGTATTTTTTCAAGTATTTTTGATTGCAAGATACGATGCAAAAAGTGAGAATTATTATCATCCCACTTTGATATCCTGTACAACATAACAACAATACAATACAAACGAATACAATTCAAGACCAATAAAATACAATACAAACCAACCCAATACAATACAGTGCAATAGAACACAAAACCACTGAGTAGTACAACAAACAATAACACAAAATACCACGTAAAACACCGAAACACAGTTTGAAAACTGCCGAGAAAATTTTATTTGGCGAAACTGAAAGTTTCAAAAGATGTTAATTAAAAAATAGCGATAGGAAAATAAAATTGGGCAAATTTTTTTTCTGACAAATAAAATAAAATAGAGTCGAGGTTGGAAAAAGTAATAATAAATAAAATATTTATATTTGGTAATAATAAATATAATTTTAAAATTATTAACAATAAATATAATATTTATTTATAGATAAATATTTAAATAAAAATACAAAAAAGACAAAACAAAATGAATGAAAAACAAACAAAAAACAAACAAAAAAGATAACGAAAGTAGATTTATTTTCTTCTCGCCACCATCTTCTATTGATTGTACGTGATTTGAATAAAGTACCCAAAACAGTCCTTTATTCTTTTTGTCATTCAGTCACCATTTTATCTTTCTTTTCATCTTACTATTTATTCATCCTTTTATCCACTAATCCGTCTACTATCCATCTCTCTATACATTCCTCTATTTTCCATCCATTTTTTCAATTAGTTTATCTCTCCATCTATTCAACCATTCTTTTTCTTTATCCATTTCTCATTCTTCCATCCATCTCTCATCCTTCCATCCATCCATCTATATTTCCATCCAATTTTTTTTTCATCCACAACATTTTTTCATTAATTTATTTAACACTCAATTCGCGAGCGTAGAGACTAAAGTTACACACATATACACGAGACGCTGGGCAAACACTCACACATACAAACGAACGCACACATGTAAAAAAAAACACACACACATACTTGCACTAAGACACACACACACATACTTGCACTAAGACACACACACACATACTTGCACTAAGACACACACACACACCCACCAACACTTATTTGCCAACCAAATTTCTTCCCAGACTCCTCCTCATTTACATTTTGTTGTCATCAACAACATCACCAACCACCCACCTACACAGAATCATCATCACCACCAGCTATACTGGCTTCGTCGTCATCGTCTTCATCATCATCATCATCGTCATCAACAACACCTTTGCACGACAGATTAGCATAGAACAATGCAGTATATATTGTATGTATGTATGAATGTATGTATGTATGTATGTATGTATGTATGTATGTATGTATGTATGTATGTATGTATGTATGTATGTATGTATGTATGTATGTATGTATGTATGTATGTATGTTAAAACCAAATCATTGACGAATGACACCAAAAGCCAAGCGTCTGTATGTATGTATGTATGTATTATTATTATTAATTATTATTATTAAAACACTTAATAAGGCGCCAATTAAAATCAAAAAGTTCTCAAAAGCGCCATCCATAGCAATTAAAAAAAAAATAAAGAACAGTATACAATGGCAGTTATTAATAAACAGTAATAAAAATAATGTATGTATGTATGTATGTATGTATGTATGTATGTATGTATGTATGTATGTATGTATGTATGTATGTATGTATGTATGTATGTATGTATGTATGTATGTATGTATGTATGTGTGTGTGTTTGTATCTATCTGCTTTCTGTCTATGAGTGTCTGTATATATGTAGACTAATGACGAAAATAAAACCAAATTTGCAGATGGTGTTTAGAAACTTTCGAGAAAAAAAAATTTGGAAAGAAAACTGCAGACTGGTGATTGGATAAATTGAAATGGGATGAGATTATCGGAGGATCAGATTGTGGAAATGGATTTTTTTTACAAGCCCGCCCACGTGAATTTGATTTTGTAAACAATCAAACAAAGAAAAAAAATCGAAACAGATGGGATGCAAAAATGTGTTTTGTTTATTTATTAGAAATATCCAATCAGAAAATTCGCATGTAGAAAAATTATATTACTTTTTGTTTCTTCAAATTTCCAACATTGTATTTATTGAAGTGTTTTTCTAGTGTCTATTCTACCTTCTTTCTTTCTTTAATTTTCTTTTTCTCAATCCTAATATTTTTCCTTTTATTCTCTTTCTCTCTTTCTTTCTCTCTCTCTCTCATTCTTTATAAAGCAGCTCTGCCAATCCAGCAAGCTGCTTACATATTATTTTATTCTTGAACTATCGTGCCTCGAAGGCTGTAGTACACTATCACACCACACCACACCACATCTCCACACCACACCACACCACACCACACCACACGACGCACATACTCTTTATACAAGCACGGGCAAGCACCGCATCATACGTCTATGATAGTTTTTTTTAGTTTCGGGCAGACGGCGTTTGAATCATGCCATCCCGTAACAGCAGCGTGAAACATGATTCTTTTTCCGACTGAGCTAACTCGGTGGCCGCTCTTTTAACTCTCTATATCATTTATTTTTTCTTCTACCTTTCTCACTTTTCCTTCTCTCTTTTCCTCTATCTCTTCTTCATTTTCATACCCTTTTATAACTTCGCGCAAGTGAAAATGGAAATCAAGCAAAAGTTTGAAAGTGGAACGGCGACAAGCGAACGAACGAACAAAGAAGATGTTGGAAGGAGAATAATTTATTAATTTATCATTTGTGAGCCTACGTAGGAGCGGTTCTTAATGCATTCATAAAACCCATCTTCTTTAAAAAAAGACAACAAAGCTGACAACAGCAAAAACAACAACATAAATGACAAAAAATTGCCCACACATACACACACTCACGCATACACAGACTCACACATACACACGCATATGCATACACACACCCTAAATACATACATGTATATATACACACACATACACAGATACGTAAAGACACAAACATAAAACACAGAATGCACAACACCAAATACACAATAGCCTAAACAACATCTCAAAAAGTAACAACTACTCTACACTACAACAACAGAAACATAATAAGAAATTGTTGGGATGTTGACAAATGCTTGAAAACAACAAAAGCAACAACAAAAACAACATAAACAACGACATTGTAAACAACGACAACATCCTAATAAGAAAAAACAAAAAAAACCAGCATAATAAACACAAACTGTATAGACGAGAACAGTTCCACTTACTAAATCTTCTCCTCTCTCTACATCCTCCTCTTCTTCACCATCTTCATCATTCTTTGTCGCATCTTTCTTTTCAAAAACATTGCCACTCCTTTCAACACCCTCATCATTATCATCATCATCATCATCTTTTTCTTCGTCTCCATCATCATAATCATCGCCATCCCCACCGCCACCAGCATCATAGTCGTCGCCTCTGAGGCCACCGATAAATTTCGTGAAGTACTTCAACTTGCTCCGAACCAGCAGCCTCTCATGCTCGTCCATCTTCACCACGCTACATTTATCTACGTTTTTACGTGACTTATTATCGCCCAAGAGTGTTATGTCTATGTTGTTTATGTTTGTACAGCTATTTTTAGTATCTTCTTCCGCTTCCTGAGTAACAACGAACTCCATCCCTCTGTCTCCGGTAGCCAATAGAAATTCAGCAAATTTGGATTTGTCGATTTTTTTATCTTTATTGATGTTGGTGATACTGTTGTTTGGCTGGATTTGGCAGCCATTTTGTTTCTCTAACCTGAAACCCCACATGTCAAAGGTCGGAGGTGGCTTGCCACACCTGCTGATTGGTCGACTGTTTACTTCCGGCTGGTCACGTAGATCTGTCGTGGTTATCGTTGTTGGCGCTGTTGTTGTTTTGTTAATATTGATTCTTTGCTTGCATCGGATGTGGTTCAGGTTCATGTTGTTTTGTTTGTTCTCCTTACTACGCATCCCTTTGCCTGCCTCCCGTGCTCCCAGGCTGAATTTTGCGACTCTGACAAGTGGTTTTGTGGCTGTTGTGGCTGTTGTGGCTGCTGTGGCTGTTGGGGCTGCTGTGGCTATAGATCTTGTTGCTGTTGTGGTGGTTGACGTTGTTGCCAATAACGCTGGTGACAGAGTTCTTTTTGTCAATGAGAAACTTGCCAATGTTGTCAATGTTGGTGATGTCGTTGTTGATGTTGTTGGTGTAGTAGTAGTGGTTGTTGTTGATGTAGTTAATGCAGTTAATGCAGTTGATGTTGTTGTTGTGATTTCAATTGCTGGGGTGGTAGTGCTTTTTAATTGTTTGTTTCTCGGTGGCAAACATGTGTGGTTCAAGTTTAGCGGCAAACAACGAAAGAGAAGACGTTTTTGGACGTTTTTGTTGTTTGTACTGTTAGCGCTGCTACTACTA